CAGCGTAAGCATAACATTCACATGAATGCGTGCAGCACACATTGACTAAATTAAAATTGCATCACTTGTATTTTTTATATCAAATTTTTATAAGATTTTGCTTTGATTCTGCTTAGCTTTTTTATAAAAGTGTAGACACCAAAGATATTTAGAGGATTTTCGTATCATAAAACACAATTGCGTCAAATTAATCAATGCGACACAGCCAAGCAGCCAAGGCAGACAGCGAAAAATGCAATCTCCTACAATAATGGTTGTCTAAGAGTTGACACCAAAAGCAGCAGCGTGCTCTAAAAGATGGAGTAAGTAAAGTGGTAATAACAACAGGCAACAGCAGCAGTAACAATTGGTGTTTGACAACAGTAGCGCTGTAACAGCAGTTTTGTGCATATTTTCTGAAATTTACGAGCGCACAGCTTTTTTCCAGCACATCAAGAAATCAGTGAATTCAAGGCAGAAGAGTAAAAGTGCGATGGAAGAGCAAGGAGACGCCAGCGTTGGGTTGGTGGTGTTGGTGCCGGAACCGCATGCGAGTGGCAGGCGAGTAACAGCTTTTCTAATTTACGACTGCGACAACTTCAAGTATTAACGTCATTCATTCATTCATGCAACACTTTTTTACAGATTTTTTTTTTTTTTTAGAGGTGGCACAAAGCATTGAAAGCCGAAAAGTGTATTTACATATGCTCATACACATAACACTTAAGTAGAGACAAGCATGCATGAAAGAATTGATCTTTAAAAACTTTATACTTAGTGCAGATCCATAAGCAGAGTGGATAATTTTTAAGTGGTGTAGAAGTGAGTAATTTTTATAAGACTCTAATTGGCAGCGCAAAAGTGGTAATCCTGGTTAATGTTCATTACATACATATGTAAATATTTTCATATTAATGCCACCTTTGCTCATAACTATTTTAAAATTTCAAGTAATTTGTTTGCTTACGTCAGTCAGGAACGCAATATTTCACAACCAAAATTCTAGATGTCTTAGGGTCTACGGCAAAAAATATTACGGGCCAATTTGTCAAGTAGGTTTTAAAGCTTATCTGCCCTTCACACATAAATTTTGTTCTGAAAAAATATGCTTGAAGGGCAGATAAATTTTAAAACCTACTTCGAGAAAACCGAAGCAATTCTTTTAATTATCGACTTGCATTACTCAGTCAATACCAACTTATTGCTAAGAGGCCGATTTCATGCTCTTTGAATAATATTTTTTAGTGCAGCAAAATTTGTTATCGGAAAGATACAGATTTGTTACGCTTTTAATTTATCGCTATAATCTTTTGATACGAAATAAACAAAAATTTCCATTTATAAATTACTGAATTTCTATCGGTAAATTTATTGATCATTCCTAAGTTACTGATTTTTTCTCTATGAAACATGCTTTTAACGTTTTTAAATAATCGATACGTTTGCATACTTTAAAGAAATCGAAATACTACATTAACTTACCAAAATATCGAAAATCTTAATTCAGCGACTATCGTTGTTGTAATCGTTTTTTTCTTATTTTGGTCTCTCAACATTTTTTGGCATACTTGTCGATACAGAAGTTCGATATTCATTAACTTTCCAAAAAAAAATACGATTTTTTACTTAAAACTTTTTGTTATCGAAAAATTAAACTATTCGAAAATTTTCTCAATGTGCACGTTCAGAAGGCGCAACAGCTCAGTAACTGTTGCGATTGCACCTTCTGAACGCGCGTTGTTTTGTACTTCTAATCAACTAAACAGTTGCGTGTTAGATGATCGTAATATTTTTCTGATCATTTGAGACAACCTGTTGTTGGTTTTGCATTGGAAAGCTAATGTATCAAGCCGTTCAGAAAACACATTACGATCACTAAATTTTTTAGCAACGGTTGCGCTCAACTGCTGCGCCTTCTGAACGTGCCCAATATCAGCGTTGAGATGTCACTATATGCTTTGAAAACAGTCGTAGTATATTCCAAAAATATGCGTTAGAGGAAGTGGTTTTTAACAAAATTCCAAAAAACCGAAAATTCAAATTCGACTTCTGCCGATTTATAGTGTTTTTACATTCTTTGTTATTTTTTTCGAATTAAAAGTTACTTGAATTTGTTATTGTTAAAATATCCAAATTTCTTTTTAAAATTTCTAAATTTTACCGTTTTATATTCGCACGTACGAAGACATATCAAACAGGTGATAGCATTGGGCAAACAATATTTGCGTGAATATTGTTGTTGTTTCTGGTATCGAAAGTGTAAAAAACTGTTCTGGCTTTTCTTCTAAATCAACGCGTGCCATGTGAAATACATAAAATAAAAAATTTAAATTGGAAAAAATAAAAGTTGTTTGCAAGGCCCAGTAATCAGCGGTTATGCTGCTGAGTTGAGCGAACGCTCCAAAAGCTGCTATTCAATCGCTAGTTTTGTATGGAAAAAGGTTTCATATG